GCAGTAGTGGGAATCTGCCTGGGAGGCGGGGAGCACACCTCATCAACAAGGGTACCTGCACAATGAATATTTGTATACCTAACCCTGAATTGTACCCCACAATTTAAAATAAAAAATATAAAGGTAAAAAAATAAAAACCAAAAAGAGTATTCAGACTTTAGCTGAACTCCATTTTTGGCATTTGCTGGAAAATGAACCTGATCTACAAGCAGGCAAGTTTTTGCTTGTAGGTCTCAACGTGCATACAGCTTATTACGTGCTTTTGGAAATGTTCCATGTCAACATTTAAGATTATATTGTCATGGAAGTGAAATGGTGCAAATTTATCCATACGATCAGTAACTATTTGCCAAAGCAGCATTGTGTATGGGTTATTTAGGCTCAGCCTTTATGTAGCACAGTTCAGTATCTTTCAATGAGAGGGAGGGATAAATAGCTGCAGAAGCTTATGTAAATTTCCAGTCAAGTATTTGAGGGACTGTGGCTGTGTAAGAAACCTTGGTCTCTGTGCTGTGTGTTTGTCGGGGAGGCAGTAGTAGTAATGTGTGTGTGTGTGAAAAAGCTCAGAATCCCAGCTCTTGCCTTTAAGATCCAAAATTTAATCAGGCTCTTTTTTTTATAAACAGCTTTGTTGAGTTATAATTTATAGATAATAAAACTCACCAATTGTAAGTATATAGTCAATGATGTTTAATAAATGTATATAGCTGTGTAGCTATCATTGCAGTTCAATTTTAGATCACTTCAACACCTCACAAAGTTCCCTCATGTCTATGTAGTCAATCCTTACTCACACCCTTAGCCCCAGGCCACCACTGCTTTGTGTTGTCTCTAAAGTTCTGCCTCTTTCTAGAAATTTCATATAAATGGAATAACTCAATATGCAATTTTGAAAGTCTGCCTTCTTTTAATTAACATAATATTTTTGAGGTTTATCCACATTGTAGCATGCATCAGTAGTTCCTTTATATTGCTGAAAAGTTTTCTACTGCATAAATACAACACATTTTGTTTATTCATTCACCAGTTGAGGATGGACATTAGGATTGCTCCTGTATTTTTTCTACCATAAATAATGTTACTGTAATCACTCATGTATAGGCCTTCACATGGGCCAATGTTTTCATTTCATGTGCTTATTAGCTAGCTATTCATATAGCTCTGGTAAAATGTCTATTCAAATCTTTTGCCTACTTTTAAAAATTGGTTTATTTTGTCTTTAATATGGGCTTGAATGTGTCCCCTAAAGTTCATGTATTGGAAACTTAATCCTCAGTGCAATGGTGTTCAGAGGAGGGATTTTTAAAAGGCGATTAGGTCATGAGGGCTCTGCTCTCATAAATGAATTAATAAGGCAGGGCACGGTGGCTCAAGTCTGTAATCCCAGCAGTTTGGGAGGCCGAGGTGAGAGTATTGCCTGAGTCTGTGGGTTCAAGACCAGCCTGAGTAACATGGTGAGACCTCATCTCTACAATAAATAAAAAAATTAGCTAGGAGTAATAGCATGTACTTGTAGATCCAGCAATGTGGAAGGCCGAGGTGGAAGGATCACTGGAGCCCAGCAGGTTGACGCTGGGGTGACCGTGTGCATGCCACTGCACTCCAGCCTGGGCAATGGAATGAGACTCCAACTCAAAAAAAAAAAAATAAAAAAGGGATTAATGTCATTATCTTGAGAGTTAGTGAGTTAGTTCATTATTGCAGGAGTAGGTTTGTTGTAAAAGCTACCTTCTTGCTTTCTCTTGCACTCTCTCTAGTCTATGCGATGCCTTCTGCTATGCTATGTTACAGCAAGAAGGACCTCACCAGATGTGGCCCTTTGATCTTGGACTTCCCAGCCTCCAGAATCATCAGCCAAATACTTTTCTATTCATTATCCATCACTGAGTTTGTGGTATTCTGTTGTGACAGCAAAAAAGAGACTAAGATGGTCTGAATAAACAGTATGCTCTCCCTACCTTACGCCTTCACCTGCCATGATCACAAACATATCCCTAGCCTCTCTCTCTAGCACCCACTTCTTTTACTTCTTTCAGAATCAAAATCCCAGATGTTAAGTTGTATCATGTCCTATCACTTTCTCCTATTCATCCTATGCACCCTGAACTCCCATTCCCCCACCATGGCATGTGACACATTTATTGAAATCAAACTCCCAGTCACCTCAACTTATTCACTAATGTTTTCTCTACCTCCTCACAGGAACTGAAACTCAACTTTCACTTGAAGACCACAATTTCTTTGAAACTCTTACCAATAGAGGCCACACCCCTCCTCCTTGCTGACTCACAGAGAGGCAGGTGAGATGTCTTCTCATTTCCCAATACCTCATTCAGATCCTGTTCTGCCAGTCATCTCTCAAAGTAGCTGCCAATTCTTTCTCTTTTCAAGTCCATGCCCTCCATGAACATTATTTTCTGCTCACCTTGTTTGCTGACATCAAGGGGTTGAGTGTTTTTCTTTTTTAACTGCCATTCTCAAGGACTGAAACATCAAATGTTTCTCTGCCTCCAGACATCACAGTCCTCTTGACTTATGACATATGAATAGAATAAGTATACTTTTCATTTCATTCACCACCTGGGCTCCTCAGCACACTCTAGAACTTCAACTTCCTCAAGTTACTCAGTTTCCAAGATCCTTCTAGCGCACTGAGTAGCAGTGGACCCTGTTGGCCATCCCATTTCTTCTGGAAACTTTCTGGCTTTCATAGTAGTCTCTTCTCTTGGGTCTCTTGTCTCACTATTCTTTACCCTTACTTTTTATTTGTAGATTCTACTGAATAATTGCTTTGGGCTCTTTGAAGTATATTCCCAGCCTTGACCCCTGCTATGGACTGAATTGTGTCCTCTGTAAATTCATATGTTGAAGTTCTAACCCTAAATTGATGGTATTTGAAGATGGGGCATTTGAGAGTTAATTAGGTTTAGATGAGGTCATGACAGTGGGGCATTCTTGATGTGATTAGTACCCTTTTAAGAAGAGACACTGGAGAACTTGCTCTTGCTCTTTTGGCCATGTGAGAACATAGTGAGAAGGCAGTTCTCTTCAAGTTCGGAAGAGAATCTTCACCAGAGCCTGACCATGCTGGCACCCTGATCTTGGACTTCTAGCTTTCAGAACTGTTAGAAATAAATTTCCTTTGTTTAAGCCAACGAGTCTATGGCATCTTTTTATCACAGCACAGGCCGACAAATACAACCTTTTTTGAAAAGTTGCAGATCCACATTTCCAAGTGCTTGATGATGGACGTCTCTGCCTGAATATCTTACTCTCAAGTCAAACTCAATATGTTCAAGGATCAACTTGATATTTTTCTTTCTATTCATGCTTTTGCTCCTGCACTTCACATTTTTAAAAACTGCACCAACATATAAGTTTGCTCCTCTTTGACTTTTATTGAGTCCTTGATAAATACTATTGACTACCTCTGAGATGCTCCTCCTTCCATCTCTTCCTTTCCATTCTCATTGTTTCTGCATTATTTCAATATTCTCATTTCATCCTCCTCCTCTACTCAGATCATCTTACACAATGAGGAATTGTAGTCTAATCTGATTACATTTTAATGTTTCCACATGGCAAGAGAATATATTCCAGACTCTCTAGTTTGCTTTTCAAGGACCTCTATGATCTAGTGTAAATATATTTTTCTCAGCTTCACTTTGTGCCTTCCATTCTTGCCAAGCCACCAAGTAAGTACTGTTTCTTTAGAATTTTAAGGATGCTTATACTTTCCTGCTCCTTTGCCTCACCTGGACTGATATTTCCATTCACCCAGCTTCCCAATCCCAAATCTATTATCCTTTGAGTCCCATTTCTTTCTTTCTTTGTTTTTTTTTTTTTTTTTGAGTTGGAGTCTCACTCTGTCACCCAGACTGGAGTGCAGTGGCATGCTCCTGGCCACCGCAGCCTTGACCTGCTGGGCCCCGGCGATCCTTCCGCCTCAGCCTTCCAAGTAGCTGGAACTACAGGCGTGCGCTACCATGCCTGGCCAATTTTTTTGATTTTCTTGTAGAGATGAGGCTTGCCAAGTTGCCCAGGTAGATCTCGAACCCGTGGGCTCAGGCAATCCACTCACCTCAGCCTCCCAAAGCGCTGGGATTATAGGCTGAGCCACGGAGCCTGGCTGAGTCCCATTTCAGATGCTACCTCCTCCTTAGGGTGTAGGAGGGTATGATGGCCAGGTAAGTATCTCTCCCATCCTCAGTGCTCCGGCACATGCCTTTTAAAGCTTGTTTTGTGAGAGGAGGATGGACCTTGTAGATAAAGGAGGGCACCTTTCTAGCTAGCTCCAGGGATCATGCCCTTACTGATAGACATTCCTCCGTTACAGTTTCCAGATTTCTTGGAGTCCTTGCTGCCCTGGGGCTATAAGACCCAGGACTCATTCCAATGTACTCATGTCACAAACATTGATGACCATCTCTTCTCTTTCTTGCTAAGTCAAAGCTCCTGGAAGACAGGGTTCCTGCCTGATTCAGCTCTGGGCTATGTAAGGAGCCAGGATGGTACCTGACTCAAATATTTTTTAATAAATGAGTGCTCAGTCTGTAATCCCAGCACTTTGGGAGGCTGACACGAGTGGATTGCCTGAACCCGTGGGTTTGAGACCCACCCGGGCAACTTGGTGAGACCTCATCTCTACAATAAAGCAAAAAACTAGCCAGGTGTGGTAGTGTGTGCCTATAGTTCCAGCTACTTGGAAGGCTGAGGCAGAAGGATCACCTGAGCCCCGCAAGTTGAAGCTGTGGTGGCCGTGAGTGTGCCATCGCACTCCAGTCTGGGTGACAGAGACTCCAACTCAAAAAAAAAAACAAGTGAATTTATGAAAATATACTATGGTATCTATCAAACAATCAAGTACATTTTTCATATAAAGAAAACTAGAATTAGTGTTTTTGTTTTTTGTTTTTTTAAATCAAGTAGCCTTAAAACTACAAAGAAAGTTGGGTATGGAGGTAAAAGAGGAGAAAGTCAGGAATGATCGATACATTACCACATCCGACTTGGTGGTAAACTTCTGAGTTTGCAAGCTTTCCAAAGCCATCCACTTCACTGGCAGTTTTGCACCTGTTTTGTTGTGTACACTATAGTATTCTTTGTCATATATATCTCTGGCAAGACCAAAATCAGCAACCTTGACGGTGAACTTTTCATCCAGCCTACAGAAAGGGCAAAAATGGTTACTGCTGTCTGAAATAGAATTATTTATAATAATGCTGAATATCCACAGAGTATTTGAAATCCATCACTTCTGACGGGAGTGCTTCATCTTGCTTGTATTGACTAGCACTAAATTATAATAGAATTCTTGAATAAAAATGCCTGACATTTACATTACAAATTCAACAGGCCAAGGAAAGCATCACGAATAGTATGGCATAATGAAATCCTTTTGCTCTAAAGAAGATCTGGAGAATCAGTAACACTGTCTCCCCTTGGCTGCCACATAGGTACAACTCTCTACCCAAGCAATCACCAATCTTCATTTGCCAACTTATTATCAATACTTAGTTTTATATGGGAGCATCCCAGGGGACTGCAGTTTTACTTTTTCCTTCTCCAATGGGCTAGATTGGTCATAAAATTCGTATATCCCACCTTCAAGGTAACAGAGAAGCATCAAAGGAAAACAGCAAAACAACAAAGGCACGAAAACAACAAAATCAGTTTCCACTATCTGGGGCTATGCATCCTCTGTTTAAGCTGGTTTTTATGTTGTTACATTGACCAAAACCAAGGTAGGAAATTAATAGCACAGCTCTTTCATTCACACATACCATAAGTCATGAATCAGAGCTGGGCAAGGGAAAGCACTGAATCAATTACAAACTGTTGACTGTTGTGTTATACAGTCAGGCAGCCAGACACAAATAAAGTTCTTTGTATATTCATTCCCAAATACCATTTTTGGTAGGGCTTCTGCAGGCTGACTTCAAATCCACTCTTGGGAAGTTACAATATATTGGTATTTGTGTTACCAACCCTCTCCTTTTCACTGTAAAATGATGAAGATCAAATTCTCCCTCCCAAACACTAATGTAGTGTGAAACCACAACACTGGGGGCTACTGGTGGGGAGGACCAAGAAAAGCAAAAGTACACAACAGCTGTTCAAGACCCCCTGTGAAGAATGCTTTTTACATTCTGAGTTTGATAAAGCCTGAAAGTCCCGCCCACATCCTCAGGGCTTATACATAGATTTAAAACTGTAACGGAAATAAAGAACTTTTGCATAAGAAGAGAAAACAGCCTCGCTGGCATTGAACAGTGGGAAACAGATTCCTCCTTGTCACTTAATTTGGACTGTGGGCACAGGGATTCTAATACTTACATACAGTTTCTTGCAGCCAAGTCTCTGTGAACAAATTTTTTGCTTGCAAGATACTTCATGCCTTTGGCTACTTGAAGACCAAAGCCAATAAGATCTTTTACGGTTGGGTTCTGTAATCAAAGAGAATTGGAAAAGCATAAACTAAGCGTCTACTGTTCTAACTTTGATCTTATTTATAAAATTTATCTAGTCTCAAAAACAAAAACAAAAAACTTGTGCCCTGTTGATATCACCATCCATTTGTTAACTATCTATTGTATGCAAAGCACCAGGTTATATTTTTTATAGATTATGGTTACTTCTTATACACTTCTGTGAGGCATGCGTTACAGCTTCCATTTTTTGGATGGGGAGGTGGAGGTGTTTTTAAATGTAGGTTTTATCATTTTTCAAGTATGATGAGGCCAACAGATCGGGAGGTAATTGCCACTGAAAAGATAGTTTGCTACTCACAGTTTGCAAGAAGAGGGAACACACCTTGTCATGTAGGGTCACATGGGGAAGCACTGGAGACCCTCAGGAGGCAGAGGGAGTGAGGGGAAGCACGTGGGCAAAAGCTTTTATTGTAGTTTCCCAGGGAAGGAATGGGTGAGGCAGGGTCAACAGGTTTAGGGTTGGTTAATCTGAAGTATTTCCAAAGGCTCTGGGGTATAGGAGCTATCTTGAGTTGTTTGGTACCTGACCCCAGGGTAATTAAGGCAGGTGGATAATGGCCCAGAAGGTGAAAGCCAGATAAGAAAGGTGACCAGGGAATGGGATCTGGATTGGTTGGTTTGCACATGAAAGGTACACCCTGAAGGCAAGTTGTTTACTTTCTCTAAGAATTAGGTAACCCTAGGAAAAGCAGTCCTTCTGGTGTTAGCAAGGCCCCAGATGCCAAAGCATCAGAAACACTCTGTGTATGTAAGAGGCTGGGAAGAAATAAGTCACCCCAGACATTCAGATTTTTAACCTAAGTCTGCCAGCTGAAAGCTACATTGTTGTGAAGTGAACCAGAATAGAAGCTTTCCTGCTGTCTGAATGAAGCCCGAGTCCACAACTCCAGTGGTCCTGCATGTCCCATTCTCTCCAAACTCCACCCACAAAATTGGACAGACAGGAATGCCTTTAGTAGCTATGAGAACTATATCTGAGGTTACATAGCCATCACTTTGGCTAGCAGGCCTGACCAGGGCCTGGGAATCAGGAGCAGGGTGTCTCCTCCTCAACAGCTACTATGAAATCTATAAGTGCAAGAGGTAATCAGTGGGGACCCTGCAAGAAGCGTTGCACCCCCCTCAATGCACACAGCACATGGAGAAGCCCAGTCCTTGTTTTAGGCTTCTCTTGAACACACATCTGAGTTCGTGGTCATCATCAATATCGACTCCTTGGGTCAAAAAAGGCCACAGTACTGTTCTGTATTGGATAATGGGAACTCTCTAACATGATTTAACCTTGGGGGAATAAATACCCAGGGGAAGGTTGCACATTCAACCAGATCAATCCAACAGCTTAATGAAAAGAGTAAGCCAGACTGTGTGGTCTGTCAGGGCAACTTTGTGCTTTGTAAGGTAAATCCACCTTCTCTGCAAAAAATTAATTGCCAGGCAGGGTTTTATTCTTTTGGCTGAATACAAAATATTCATTTACTGTTCTAGAGCTTATTTTCTCTGAGAACTTGATTCATCTTTATAACATTGTTTTTGATTAAGGGTAAAGCTACTTCATTAAGTTCTGCAGAGACCTGGACAGCAGGAGCCAAGAAGGAGCCTGAGACCATCGATGAGTTCAGTTCTGGGCACTCCTCCCTCCATCTGCCCTGGTCCTGGGCCTGGTCCTGGCCTGGCAGACACTTGCTTACTCTTCAGATTTGGGCATAAATGTCTTAAAGAAAACTCCACCTGAGAGGAGAACCTGTTCAGTAAATGGTCCTGGGAAAACTGGCTGACCAGATGCAGAAGATTAAAATGAGACCCCTACCTATCACCATATACAAAATCAACTCTAAATGGATCAAAGACCTAAACGTAATACCTCAAACTATAAGAACCTTAGAAAAAGCAGGAGACACCCTTATGGAAATTGGAACTGGCAGCCAATTCCTGATCAAAACCCCAAGTGCCCATGCCATAAGAGATAAAATAGACAAGTGGGACCTCATCAAACTGACAAGCTTCTGCAAAGCCAAAGAAACCATAGAGAGAGTGGGGAGACAGCCCCCAGACTGGGAAAAAATATTTGGAAATTGTATGTCTGGCAAAGGCCTAACATCTAGGATCTACAAGGAACTCAAATGTGCTGAAAAGAAAAAAACAACAGCCCCATTAAAAAGTGGGCAAAAGGTATGAATAGACACTTCTCAAAAGAAGACAAATGAGCAGCCAACAGACACATGAAAAAAACTCAGCTTCACTAGTCATAAAGGAAATGCAAATTAAAACCACACTGAGATATACATAACTCCAATCAGGATGGTCATCATCAATAACTCAAACAACAGATGCTGGAGAGGTTGTGGGGAAAAGGGAACACTTCTGGACTGTTGGTGAGAGTGTAAATGAATACAATCTCTGTAGAAAACAGTTTGGCAATTCCTAAAAGATCTAAAAATCAACCTTCCATACAAGCCCACAATCCCCCTACTGGAATATACCTGGAGGAACTCAAATCACTCTATGAAAAAGATGTCTGCATATGCATGTTTATTGCAGCATTATTCACAATAGCAAAAACATGGAATCAACCGTGCTGCCCATTGAAAGAGGACTGGATTTAAAAAATGTGGTACACAATGGAATATTTCACAGCCATAAAGAAGGACAAAATTATGAACTTCGCAGCAACTTGGTGGACTTAAGAGTCTATAATACTGAATACTGGGTGATCTATCACAGAAACAAAGAAGTGAGTACCACATGTTCTCACTCATAAATGGAGTTTGAACAATTATCATAATACTATTAGAAAGGGATTGACAGTAGTGGGAAACTGCTGGGGTGGGGGGAACACCTCATCAACAAGTACCTGCATAATGAGCATTTGTATATGTAACCCTGAATTTTACCCCACATCTTTAAAATAAAATAAAAAAAAGAAAATTCCCCCTTGCAAGAGCCTAAAAACCTTTTTTGTAACTCTGAGTTCATTCATTCAACCAGTATTTACTGAGAGCCTGCGGGCTGAACACTATTTCAGGTGTTAGAGCTACAGCAGTGAACAAAAGACACACAACTCCCTACCCTCATGGCCTTACATTCTAATGGAATGAGTGTGTGTGTACATATACATGCATATACATATGGATAGACAAACCTATATAGCTATCATTTATTTGTTGTTTAGTGCAGCATTATTCAACAGAAATATAACACAAGCCACATATGTAATTTAAAATTTTCTTAGTGTCTATGTTAAAAAAAAAAGTAAAAAGAAACAGGTGAAATGAATTTCCACAATTTATTTTTCAATCCAACATATCTCAAATATTATTTCAGCCTGCAGTCAATATGAACAATTATTAATGAGATATTTTACCTTTTAAAAGTACTAAATATTCGGAATCTGAGATCTATTCTACACTACAGCACATTTTAATTTGAACCAGCCACTTTTCACATGTGGCTTATGGCACAGTACTAGGCAGTTCAGGTCTGTTGTATCAGAAGATGATACAATGTGGTGGAGGAAAACAGAGTGAGGAGATTGAAGGCATGAGGGTGGGTGGTCAGTTGTAATTTTAGACAGGCCAGGGAAGCCTCATTTTGAAGGTAACATTAGGGCAAAGAGCTGAAAAGGATGAGGAAGTCAGATTTGTGGGTATTTGAGGAAAGAGTGTTGTAGGGAGTGGGGACAGCCAGTGCAAAGGTCCTGAGGTAAGAGAGTGTGTGACAAGTATGAGGAACTGCAAGGGACTCATTTGTAATTAATTCTTCACTGTCTTCTAGAGTTAAAATTCTATATGGGCCAAGGCTCGCTCTGCCTCTGTCCCATGCTTTGCTCAGTTTCTGGCAAACACTAGGCACTCAAAGATGACTAAATGTCCATATCAGGGGCAAGGTGGAGCAAGGCTTCTTGAAGATCAAGTAAGAATCACCGCCCCAGGAAACCCTTCTAGCTATCATTATCTTCCTACCAGGATAGAAGATTTTGAGGTACATTTGAACGGTGCCAAACATTTTATATGCGCACCTTTGGCTAATAGCTTTTTAAAAGACTTTTCTTGAAGGGATACTAGTTCATCAGTTAGTTCGCTTGGCAGTCTACTTACGTGAGTTTCATTTCGAATGAAATTTCGAAGGTCTCCATGTTTCATGTATGGTAGAACCACCAGAGGAGACCCTTCACTTCGAAGGCAGATTCCCAAGAGCGAGAGGACATTGGGATCACTAAAATCTTTCATGATGATTCCCTCTGTCAGAAACTGGGAGACTTCCCCTATGTCGGTGATTCCTGAGAAATCCAGTAGTAGAGACGTTAATGTCATTATGGAACAGTGCATTCGTTGTCAAACTTAGATAGAAAGAGCAATGAAATGTAAAGCCATAGGGTTCATGTCTCGGTCTGAAGCCTCAACCTCAGGGTGTTCTTTTTACAATACGTCTGAGTAAATGATGTCACCCTGCACTGTGCCTTTAAGTTGCCACCTACAACCACTTTTGTAAGACAGAGTCCAGTAAACAGTTTGTCTCATCCAGAACCACGGTTTGTCTCATATTAACTTAGTACAGACTGGGTGTGGTGGCTCACGCCTGTAATCCCAGCACTTTGGGAGGCCAAGGTGGGAGGGTTGCCTGAGCTCAGGAGTTCAAGACCAGCCTGGGCAACATAGTGAGACCTCGTCTCTAACAAACGATTAAAAATAGAAAATTAGCCAGTTGTGGTGTCACATGTCTATAGCCCCAGCTACTTGGGAGGCTGAGGCAGAAGGATCACCCTGAGCCCACAAGGTTGAAGCTGAGGTGAGCTGTGATCATGCTGCTGCACTCCAGCTGGTACCGAGAGAGTGAGACTGACACAAACAAACAAACAGCTTAGTACAAAGTTTGTACTTAGGTTTCATACAGACTGTCCCTTTATTTACCTCATGGTCAAAATCCAACAAAATTAACCATAATAGAGCACTGCTCAGCATGAAGATGTATAGTAAACAAACAAACAAAAAGCCTTAAATAGTTTTGGCAATAATGTATCCTGTAGGAAAACATTCTATTTGTGCACTTAAAACTTATTAGTTGCAATATAATTATGTAATATGGCTGGTTGACATTTTTCAGACTGCTGAAAATTGTAAGCAGAAAATTAGAAACGGGAGTAGAAAAAGCAAGCATGTGAGACCTGTCAACAGAGGTGGAGCCAGGAACCCTCCAGCATGTGGAGTACCCTGGGTTATATAACATAGTAATTTATGGGTATCATTATAGCTCAGGATCATCAGTAAAGACTTAATTTGTGCCTGGAAGAATTCCTTGTTTCTTAAGCAGAGTATGCATTTCATCTTAAAAGGATTTTCTCAATAACAGCTACAATTTTAAGAAACGTTTCAGCATTAAAAAGGGGATAAGTTTCACTCATTTAGAAAGTTTGCTTATGTGGAATACTTCACTCTCCAAAAATGCGGATAAATGAGGTATTATCATACTTATGATTTTTCAGTTTTTTGCCAGCGTATTTTTCTTCTGTTTGTCTTATTTCATTTTTAAAAATCTTTTTAATGCAAGTTGTGGTTAAAAAATAATTATAGTAATGCCTGTGGGTAAAATGAGTCATTACTACTGTATGTGCCAACATGCTTCCAATAGTTTCCATAAATGTAACTTGCAAAACAAATATTAGAAACCAAACATAGTTAGATGATACTCCAAGAAACTCATCTCTCCTACATCTTTACTTATGGGGGATCTGAGGGATAATTTCAGATAAAATATTTCAAGAAGACTTTAGACCAAATAAATTTTCAGGATTCAGCCCTGAAATTTCAGAGGTAGCTGATTTTCCACAAGGGGAAAGTATAAATCAACATTTTGTTATAAGCTATTGATTAGTCTGCAAACCACAGAGTATGCTCCATTGTTAATTAAAACGTAACTTACTATTCAAAGATTTCACAGCACAGTGAATTTTCTTGCCCTCATTGTCCAACAAAGTCCCATGATATACGCAACCAAAATGCCCTATAGGAAAGAGGGAACTTGGTTAGTGCTGCATTATGTCTAATTATGCAATAATTATTTATCAAGTCCTTCATGACCTTCTTTTTTCTAGATGACAAAACAGTATATTCAAAATACTTTTGATTAACAATACCACCGTGTACGTGTGTGTGTATAAATGCCCATGAAATACATTTAACTCAAGGATATAAACAATATGATTATTTAACACATGATAAAAACCATAGGTGATATGACTATTATTAAAGGCTAACATAATAAAATATCCAGTCATAGTGGAACCACTAGAAAGAGTAGCATTTCCTTTATAAAAGAAAATCATTATCTTTAAGGATTTAATATTTCCAAATATGAAAATAAAGTTTTACTGACATGAAGAAAAAAAATAAGCTCCTTATATTCCAATAAACAGAAATGAAATAAAAATGTTACCATTATAAATAAGATTAGTATTATATAGGACATGGATTTCCCCCATTAGTCACCAGTTAATGCATAATCCAGGTTGGCAGAAACTGAAAGGCAGTTGCCCAAATGAGGCAAATTCACTCTGACTCATTTCAGCTCGTTCTCTCTGGTTTTAACCACATCATTTTCCCAATGGTAGCCTTTCATCCAGTGGCTGTAATTTTCTCCAGAGGTGCCAAATGTCTGATAGCTGTGTAAGTCATTCATGAATTAATTCACCCAGCCAGCCAAGGCACCCTGAGTGTCAAGTATGTGTCAGGAATTAGGTTGCCCTCTCATAATGCAAAGATGCATAAAATAAAGCCTGTGCTCTGAGGGCTTATATCCTCCTGGAGAAAAATATATCAATAAGTAATAGCACACATTTATAAAATTGTTAATGATTATAACTTCAAAAGAGAAATAATTGCCATTTTAGCATCTTTCATGAGAAAAAGTTCTAACTTTGTAATATGTAGAATTAGTAAGTCCACACACTCTAAAACTGGTGCAATTACTGAGAAATACACACACACACACACACACACACACACACACACACACACACACACACACAAACACACACATATTTCTTTTTTTTCTTTATTTCAGTAGCTTTAGGGAGTCCAAATCATTTTTGGTTACATAGTTGCATTTTATAGTGATGAAGAAGTCTGGAATTTAAGTGTACCCACCACGCCTACCTGTGCATGCTGTACCCAATAGATGGTTTTTTTGACCCTCCACATTGTCTCCCCTCCCCCATCTGCGTCTCCAGTATCTATTATACCATTCTCTATGCCTTTGCAGATCCTTAGTTTAGCTCCCACTTACAAGTGAGAACATGTGGTGTCTGGTTTTCTTGAACTATACATTTTCTGATATGAGACATGGAAACAGGTTAGTTAAGAGTAAGGCTGTTGGAGTGACCTGTGATTGCATCACTGCATTCCAGCCTGGGCAACATAGTGAGACCTATTTCTAAAAAAAAAACAAACAAAAATGCTATAAATCCTAACTTACTAATGTCTTAATAAACCATTTCTTTTTTTCCCAATTTTTTGATGTTACTAGAAACATGTTTATTTCTCCATTGATTTGTATTACATGGGTTTGTAAAAAAGCTATAAGAGTATAAACAAGCTTTGTCAAAAATTCAGCTATTTATCCAGTAAATGAAAGTCTAATAAACCATTTATAATTCATGACAAGTAAAGTCCTCTTTATCCATCTTTCCAAATTAAAGATTGATTGAAAACAAGGAAGAAATTAAAAAAGAAAAAAGAGTGAAGCCGCTCTTTGGGAAGGAGAAGCATGCTCAGGATAACATTCTAGAGTGTGTGACAGAGAAATGTCTGGTTGCTACCGCAGGAAATGAGAAGGCCTCGTGTTCACATAAGGCAAATCATCATCAGCCCCTCCTGCAACACGCTGGCAGATGCCCATGCAACCCCTTGCAGATCATATAGAATAAAAGGGATCAGAAGCCATTCAGTAGGAGGGGAAAAAGCTCCTTAGAAAAAAGGGGAAGAGTGAGTTCATCTTCTGGCTTCTGGTTGGTTTCTTTTCCAGCTACTTCCCCCAATACTGTTTATGCTAGCCGTTATCGCTGCTCTGGCTAGCTTATTACAAATATTAATTCCTCTTTGTATAAAGAAATTGGAGTGCATTGTAGAGATGATATATGTTGCTTCAGATCAGGGGAATGCTATAAATTTCTGTCTTCTGATGCTGTCCAGCAATGTACAAACTGCTATAAACCAGGCTTTGTAGAGTTTATCACTGTTCTCAGGGTGAAGAAAGACTGAAGGGAGATCTGAGTGGATCTTAAAATATTGGAACTTAAAAGTATGATTTCTAAAAGAAAGCAAATAGCACTTTGCACGAAACTATAATTGCCAGTATGAACACGGCAAGGAAAAATTGTGATTTCATTCTAATATTATGTTTGGGAGATTATCCAATTGCTTCCCTACACAGGGACAAATCCCTTGGATATAATTTGCAGGGCTGCATCTCTGCACAACAGAAGTCAAGTACACTTGTTATCAGAGCTCTGTCAGTTGCTTTCACCATTGTCTAAGTTCCTAATCTGCAAAGGCAGAAGATAAGATGCTTACTGGAAAATCGTATTTAACAAAAAGCCGAGTGGAAATACTTACCTCTTCCTATGACTTCATTGAAATGCACAATCAGGCTACTGGGTCCAATCACTACATGCTGCACTGCCTGGACCAGCTCTGGATTTAATGCACTGAGGTCAATGTGGACAGTATTTTGCAGTAATGGACTAGACATATCAGAGTCCCCACTAGTTAGGATAGGGGACAGGTCTGCCAGAGGATACTGCACTTGTCTGCACGATCCGTTCTGAGATGAGTTGGGAAATTGGTCTGCAAGGTCAAGCAAAATTATTAGAGAAGAAACCTCACTTGCTGGGGACTGCAATGGGACAGCAAACTGAATTAATAATGAAACTTAAATTTTAAAATGAAAAACATGGTGATTATATCATTGAATGATCCTAGGAAGAGCCTTTGCAAAGGCATTGGCTTGATAAAAATGATAATAAATTGGGAAAAGATATTGGTTTATATATACAAGCATTTTGTAAAATGTTTACAAACTTTCTCTTAAGTTGACTAAGCATTAACTTAGAAAGCTTGTTTGCCCTCTCTGTGTCCTTAGACATTTCTTTTTATCAACAGCAAAAAGCCATATGTCTTTAAGAAGGGAAGGCGAGGTAGGTAAGCAACTGCCTACTCTCACAAGAATCTAGCTCAAATATAAGAAAGTGAAAAGATGCCTTTGGAGAGATTAGTGTTTACTAATTACCATTGTGTGAATCTATATGGATTCCTGGCCAAGTGGAAAAAAATATATATATGATTAGAAATAAACAATGGCTACATTTCCAGAACTGAAAGCTTTTCATGCTTGTGGTAAATTCTCCATTGTGTGATGATGTCACTGGATTTGGTGTTACTGCTGTTTAGAGAAGACAGGTCAGGACTGGGTTAGTGTATCATCCTCAATGTTTAGTTGAGGACACTTGGAAAGGTGGGGGAACATTCCTTGTAAGTTGATCTTTACAGCCAAACCTGTATAAGAGCCTGATGTAAGGTTCCTTTTGCAATATATTTGTTTTTTAATTTCAGGGGGAAGGAATTGTGCTGAGAGTAAATTTCTTAATGCCAAATGGGGCAAAGAAGCCACCCTTTTCACTGTCCCTTTTCCTTTCCACTAGGGATCCATACATATCAAGGAAGGGACATCATAACCTCAATAACTGACCTGAAGATAAACTGGGTATTGTAGTGAAATGTATGTATCACAGAAAGAGGGCTATGTATGTGTGGGTGAGGGGGTCCCTGTTAGCGCCAAAAGACAATATCATTTATTTGCAAATAAGCGGGAGAATCAGAATTTGAGAGAAAGGCATAAAAAGAAAGCTGCTGGTACCTTGACTATGCCTACCCCGCTTATGCAGTTTTAGTATTTTCCACAGTGGACAGTTTGGTTAATAATAAATGAACTTGGCCAGAGAAGTAAATCTCAAAAGTGGTTCCAGAAAAGCTTTGGGAGCCACCTATAGTCACAGTAGTGACTAGTCAGAAGACAGACGCAACCCTCAAGGAAAGATGTGGCATGTCAGGAAGTACCTGAAATGTTGGGTGGGTGAGGGAAGGAGAGACCCTAGCTGGGCACCTATTCTTTAATCCCAAGGAGTCAGCTTCTCCAAATATTCCCCAGGGGACTAGAAATGCAAACGAGTCCCTCTACACTCAGTTCTTTCATCACCACTTCCCGAACCTTTGCACCTGGAGATCAGGGTTCTGAAATCTCAGGGGTGCAGAGATTGAGGGAAATCCTTGGTAAGACATTGGGAAAAAAAATTGTTTGGCATAGAAATATACTATCCCTTCAGCTAATTTAAACCGTGTGTAGAAACCAATGGAAATCACCAATGTGCAACTTCGGTGTCACACCACAGAGTTCTAGGTTTCCAGGAAAAAGACTGATGAGAAGGTTGTCCTCACTAGATGTGAAAAGTTCTGCAATTGTCTCTTTATTAGGTTCTGGCTGTGCATTCTACCCTGTGGATGACCCTCTCTAGGCTATTTTATCTATCCACGTGTCCAAGGAGCAGGCTCAGTGTAGAAAAGAGGGTGAAACGCAACCAACTTAGTGATAAAGACAGATGTTTGGTGAGGATGGAGGTTGAAAGATTTGGTGAGCTTTTTAAAAAAAGACTTGAGAATTTTAACGGTCTCCGCTTAGAGCTATTAAATGTAAATATAAAATACAAAATAGATATCAGTTTCAAAACTATAAAATAGGTTTGATTTTTCCACATTGTAAAGGAATGGATTTTTCAAGGCGAATGGGATCATGGGACAAAGATAATATTTACTACATGTATCACTAAAGAAATAAGATAAACAGCATGGTGGTTCACACCTGTAATCCTAGTGATTTGCAAGGCTGAGGCAGGAGAATTGCTTGAAGCCAAAAGTTTAAGACTGGGGAGCACAGCAAGACTCCATCTCTACAAAAAAATAAAATAAGCCAGGCACAGTGGCATGTGCCTAAAGTCCCAGCTACTCAGGATGCTGAGGTCTGGAGAATTGCTTGTGCCCCGGAGTTTGAGATAACAGTGAGCTATGATTGTGCCACTGCAGTCTAGCATAAGCGACAGAGTAGTGATAGTCTGTCTCAAAACAAAATGCACACACAAGACATAAAAAAAAAAAAGAGGCAGTATGTATTGAAAAAGTTAAAAAGTTAAGTGCCTTGTTGCTCTTGAATTGTTTGGATGAGCAACTTTTAACTTTTCCAGTATCCTCAACCATCTGTAACTCATTTTATTTGTCCAATGGTAAATATTCAACCAGGGAAATGCTTGTTTTTGACTCATGTCCTGTAACCTCTAAAGATAATGGGGCTAATACAATACCGACATATTGCTTTTACCAGGAGATTCTAAATAAAACAATGTGAACAGCTCTGGTTAACCTGAACATTACTATCCCTAGTGTTTTGCATAACATATGATATTGATCCTTCCTTTTTAAATAGCATAAGTGAAAGTTTTTCTTGGATAAGTCTCAAAATATAGTCAAGTGCTGGAATGTTGTAGGTAAAAGGCTGTGTACTAATACTTCCTTGAGAACACTTCAAGGAATTACCAATGGTACCATTTAAATGTTTGGACTTCAGTATATAAACAATGTAGCTGTTCTAGCTTATATTTAAATAAATATGTTTTTTGTTACTTAAGTCTTCCTGGGTTGTTAAAGAGAGCCCCACAGTTTCTTTCTTTCTTTCTTTTTTTTTTTAAGCCTCACAATTCCTTATCATCCCACTTAGATGATAAAAATGCTTTGCTTAAATGACTTTTAAAATTAACCTTTTTGTGAGAAGAGAGCTTAAAGACTCTAAAATTATACTGCAATATATGCATGGGTTCATTTTAAAATAAGAGCCATGTAAATCTGTGTCAAACTAAATAATTCTTTGGCAGAGGTAAATACTTTTTAATATTTTTATAAAAATATAAAGGCAAAACCAGAAATAAACAACATGCTGTACCCACTGAGGTGTATGTATAGTTATTTCTCAGAACAATAAAGTGAAATATACCTTCTGGAAAAGTGGCTCGGTAGTCTACAGATTCATTTGAAACCATTTCTGTAGTTGGGCTTACGCTTCGGGCACTTACAAGTCTATCCAAATGAGGAGTGTGTACTCTTGCATCATAGCGAACTAATTCACTGCCCAGGTCTAAAACAGAGAGAAAGAAAGAGCTTGTTAAAGACTTGGCTATCATGGGTCCCAGTAGACTTTGACCCGGTGCCCAGAACTCACAGGTTTTATGGGTTGCATGTAAGACAGCATGCATGAGTCTATGACAATTTTAAACTATAATGACTATATTCTTAAGGTAACTCCTCAAAGCAGACAATAACAAAAAAATGCACCTTTAATTTGCTTTCTCTTTTTTAGCCACAGGAAAAGCCCGAGTATTAATAAGAGTATTATTGATATCGAGATAACACCAGCAATCAATCCTGTGAAATTCTGATCTGGTTGAACGATTACTTTTCCAAGGACGGTGGAAGAAACTGCTTGCTTCCACTAAAAATGACAAAATAAAGAAAAGTCAGCATTTAGTCATGTAGATATTTATACTACACAGGCCGTTGTACAATCTCTCTGGGTCCAAAATACCACCTGGCTATAGCTATTCCAGGAGTGACATAATTGCCTTCAGGATAATAAGAGAATTCTCAGTTCTGCTTCAGCGTACAATTAGGAGATACTGATCCCTGAAGTATTTATATGATACTTAGCTGTTTGTATTTGTAACTAGGTATTAGGAATAAAAAGATAAATCAAAAGCAGGAACCAAAGTATAGAAGGGGAGACAGACACATAAATGACTGCAATACAATATACTATGCACCATAGAAATAAGACTAAACAGTAGGCAACAGATATAATAGGACATTAATTCTGTCCTGGAGGGTAGGATGGAGGACAGAGAAGACTTTCTATATGAAGTAAATCATCATAATATTGTTACTATGGGACAATAACATCTCAGAATATTTTAATTTTAGTTTTGATACATAGAAGAAATCTTTCCAGGTCTAATATTTTATAATTTTTAGGACTTATAGTCCTTCTGAAATCCCAACTCTGAGTATGATTTAGTCTTAGATTTTCTAATTTTTTTGGTACATTTCTATTTCATAACTTTTTAGAAGACTTTGGGAACTCTTTACAAATCACTTACTCTTGGATAAACATGATGTGTATATGCACAGTAGAATATTACTCATTCTTAAAATGGAATGAAGTACTGATACGTGCTATAACATGGATGGACCTTGAAAACATGATAAGCGAAATAAGCCAGAAACAAAAAGACAGATATCATATGATTCCACTTACATGAAATATCTAGAATAGGCAAATTCAGAGATACATAGATTTGAAGTTACCAGGGGCTGGAGGAGAGGAGGGAAGGTGGAACTACCGCTTATTGGTTATAGGGCATCTGTCTGGGGTGATGAAAATGTTTTGGAATTAGATAGTGGTGATGGTTATGCAACACTGTGAATGCAATTAATGCCACTGCATTGTACATTTGAAAATGGCTAAAGTGGCAAATCTTATATATGTTTTGCCACAATGCAAAGAAATTAACAATATAATATACCAAAACTCACTAAACTGTACACTTGAAATGGGTGAATTATATGGAATGTGAACTATATCACAATAAAGCTGTTAAGAATTTAAAAAATCACTAACTCTGGTTCTGGGTTATCTGATTTAGCTGTCTACATAAAAAGTTACTGTGAAACAGTTTAATCTGTATTTTACTTTGTCCAGTGCATGCCTTCTTTTATTTATGGGACTCCATGCATTAGTGATCACTGTACTGGACAGTGGACACTGGCTCTGGCCTCCTGGATTGGTAGGAGGTGGGGGAAGGACACTCTCGGAAGAGTCCTTATCCCTTCTCAGAATGACAGCAAATTTTGGGAAGAGTGTGGCATGATGGAGAAGCAATGTGGGTAGAAAGGACTTTGGAGACCTACCCTCCCAAGCTTGGAGAAAGAGACAACGTGACAGAAAACTCACTATTTCTAAAATAATCAGGAATGGAGGCAGAGTTGATGAGCCAAAGCCAACACATAAATGAGCTTTAATGATTTATTTTAAGCCTCCAAGTGACATAATTACACTGGCTTCCTTATTTACATCATGAGAGGAATGCAGGAATCCCACCTCTATATTTAGCTCACGGTTCAATTTCAGCAGGTCATTGGGGACTGTACATAAAACGGCTTCAGAGTGTGAGTGGATATTCTCACAGCTCTTATTTCCAACTTTTAGCACTTCACCTTTAACTGCTTCAGGGTCAATGTCATTTCCCTGGAAGAAAAAAAAAGCAGTTGTTAACACTTTACAGTTTTGCAGTAATGCTAATAATGGTGAAAGAATATATACTGCAAACACAGGCCATGTTGTTTACCAAGGCACATGATTTTATGATACTATCTTTCTTTTTTTTTTTTTTCTGAGTTGGAGTCACACTCTGTTACCCAGACTGGAGTGCAGTGGCGGCTCCCAGCCACCGCAGCCTCGACCTGCTGGGCTCCGGAGATTCTTCCACCTCAGTCTTCCAAGTAGCCGGAACTACAGGCGAGCGCTACCACGCCTGGCTAATTTTTGATTTATTGTAGAGATGACATCTCGCCAAGTTGCCCAGGCGGGTCTCAAACCTGCGGGCTCAGGCAATCCACTCACCTCAGCCTCCCAAAGTGCGGGATTACAGGCTGAGCCACCGAGTCCGGCTTATGATACTATTTTTCATGGGCATTGAAATGGTTGGAGGGGAATGTGACCATCGCAGAGCACTAATTAGTTAGAAATTACAGCATATAGTTTTCGCATCAAATTGGACGGTAGAGAAAAGGAAAGATTTGTTTCACATCCTTATGTTGAGTGATGTCTTACCCATAATCACTATTGTTTTCAAGGGATATTGTTGTTTGGCAAAAAAGAAGCAATTCAGAGATTCAGTTGTTACACTGCTTAAAGTAGAGATAATCTTGGCTGTGCTTTTAGAATCATGAGAACTTTAAAAATACTGACGCCTGGGTCCCATCTCCAGAGATCTGATGTTACATCATTATTAATGCATCAACAATGTATTATGTGAATACATTCCTTGTCTGTTTGAGTTGGGAAGTTTCTTTCCATTTTGTACACTTGAATCCTATACATAAATGAATTCATTTTTAAAGAAATTCCTGTGAGATGCCATATGACCATTATGATTTGAGAGCACAGTTACATTATTTTGAACAATTACACAGTTACATGAGGATTTTTAAAAATTACTCAATTTGACATATTTGGTTAACTGAAGTTACCATTAGGAATTTTAAAAAAATCAACATTTTGTGGAAGAAACCAATAATGAGCCTTGGGAAAGAGGTGCAAACACAGGTACCATTTCTCATATTAGGACTTAATGAGTACGGTTATTTACTGAACAGGCAATTACTTTGAGGAGAGATATATCAAAACCGATTACTATTTTTCTTATGGCCAAAAAATAGCCAGTAATAACTACAGTAGTGTTACTTTTGTTTTAAATGTTTAATACTTGGCAAACGCCATGCACATACTGTACATTGTCTCATATGGTTCTCAATAGATTGATAGATCAAATATTATTCTAGAAAAAGAAGCTGGAAGAAACGACTTCTTTATAATTTGAAGTTGAAGTGTAAGAAAAAATGCATATAGATAAAACCTATCCTCAGGTTGCTTCTAGGGGCAGCATGTGTAGTGCATTGAACCAGGTCAGCCACACAGGGCAACTCAACATAGAAACACATAAATCTAATAGATCACTTTGTGGCTTCAAATGACAACTTGTTGGTTAGGTCTGAGGAGGGCCAAGGCCCTTACTCACAGAGTGGAGCGAATTCAGGGAATGACAAAGAAAAGAGATTAAAGAGCTGGAGGGTTTGATTTATGAGGGAAGGACTAAAATGTGTCTTGCTTGCTTAGATAATGACTAAGGTTGGGGGAAGGGATGAACATCCTGCATTTCTATTTCTAATACTCATTCTTTTAGGCTTAGGATCTTTTTGGATGTTGCATTAAGGCTGCTCTAAAACAGAAACAGATCACACAACCACATAATGGAATCCCTCTGCATATGTAGCTATCAGGGAACACGTGACAATTAGTGACTTACAGAAGAGATGACTATGAGCTTTGTATAAGTAATTACTTTAAAAATCGAAAACCTCAGATATTACAAAAGTGATACTGATAGTCCACTACTATATAACAAAGGAGTCTAAATTGGAAAAAAAAAATAAGTATAAGCCAATTTTTGTCATTTAAAATAAACATAGTTTTATCAAGATGTAAAAGAGTGTATGTTTAGAACTTATTAATTTCATTGTTACTTGTTGAATATTAACTATTATTAAATAGAAGAACATATTAACAAAATCAGCTCAGTTCATAATCAATTTTCATTAAAATGGTAATAGATTTTTTTTTGTTTGTTTGTTTTTGAGTTGGAGTCTCACTCTGTCGCCCAGACTGGAGTGCAGTGGCCGCTCCCGGCCACCGCAGCCTCAAACTGCTGGGCTCCGGCGATCCTTCCCCCTCAGCCTTCCGAGTAGCCGGAATTACAGGCGCGTGCTACCACGTCCGGCTGATTTTTGATTTATTGTAGAGATGAGGTCTCACCAAGTTGCCAGGCGGGTCTCGAACCTGCGGGCTCAGGCAATTCACTCACCTAAGCCTCCCAAAGGCACGGGATTACAGGCTGAGCCACCAAGCCCGGCTTGGTTATAGGTTTTCAAATAAAGCAACAAAAGAGAAAGATTTCTGATCTTGAATCTCCTATACACATACAGCAATTTAGTGAGCGTGATCTCATTTTATCCTGCAAAGACACTCCCCTGAGGTAAGCATTATTGTCCTTTCTGCTTTACATATGCTTTACTAATGTTCAGAAATGGGCTAGGTCATGAAGGAAGTCAAATTCTATTTGATTCCAAATTGACTTGCCATCTTCTGTGTGTTAGACCCAGTTCTAATCACTGTGAACATAGCAATGAGTAAGAGTTTCTTGCTCTCTGTGATGTTAAAATGAATACATTTCTAAAATGAAAACTAATGACTCGCAATGTGTCACATCAGGATATACCTTGTCCCTTTCCCCTCCAATTCTGGTTGGGTATGATACAATATTTCCATCCAGGCCTGGGGACTCATGTCTGAGATGGCTATGGAACAGAGCATGTCTGAGATGGCTATGGCACGGAATTGGGGAGGATTTGAAAAATAGCATTATGATAGGAGAGGTCCATCAAGTTTTCTTACATCCAGGTGGCCTCACAACTGAGTCTGGGAGAATCAGTGAAAGCAGTGAGGTGCAGTTTGGTAGCAGGACCCAGCCAGGCAATGGTCCAAAGTCCAGGGATGCTAGCAGTAGAAAATGAGTGAGTTGGCGGTGGGGGCGAGATTTACTTCTTACTTGGAGGACAAAAGTCCCTCATTCTAGGAAACAGGAAAAAATTTGCCAGGGCATTTGAGAAAAGCTGGTAAGCCAAAGTTAAACTGGTTTCTGACTGGGTGTGGTGGCTCACACCTGTAATCTCCAGAGCTTTGGGAAACTGAGGTGGGAGGATGACTAGAGGCCAGACTGGGCAACATACCGCGATCTCCTTGTCTCTACAAAATAGCTAGGTGTGGCAGCATGAGCCTGTGGTCCAACTACTTGGGAGGTTAAAGTAGGAGGATTGCTTGAGCCCAGAGGTTCAAGGCTGCAGTGAGCTGTGATAGTGGCCATTGTACCTACAACCTGGGTGACAGAGCAAGACTGTCTCAAAAAACAAACTGATTTCTTCATTGGATACTTTTAAAATTTCCTATTAAGTACTTTGAAACCACAGGTGCTATTATGAGCCCTGGAACGTATTTTTTTTTTTTCCACAGAATACCTATTAACCTGTGCAGCACAGGGTAATATTAGTTTGAGAGCAAGATATGAGGACCATTAATAGGAATAGGTTTTGACAGTGGGCCAAATGGCCTCTGAGAAAACAACCCTTCACTTCCATCCTGTCTGGAGTCAGAACTGGCTTCATGGTAGTTGTGACTGGGCCTGGGCCTCGAATTGCAGATAAATTAATAAGAGGGAGGAAGACAACCTCTGGCTGGCTCTGGGCAGCAGGTGGATTGGATTGTTTCAGAACCATGTTCCCTTCCAGATCCTTCTAATGCCCAGACCTTGATGCTTGGCTCCCCGGCCTGAGATTTCAGCATTTGCTCTTGTGTTAACAGTGTTGTCGCCTGAGTTCCGGCTCCCTGCCTCAGGCCATCTTCCCGCCCTCTTTTTCCTGTTTGAGCTGATTTCTCCAGAGTGAACTTTTGAAGCATCTCTATTACCATATATTCCTACATGCTCCAGAATATAATCCTCCAGGGCAGTGTCAGGTTCTTGTTCTAGCATTAAATAATCAACATCCCGGAAGATATGCTCACGCATTAAAAGTCAAATAATAAGCCGGGCTCGGTGGCTCAGCCTGTAATCCTGCGCTTTGGGAGCCTGAGGTGAGTGGATTGCCTGAACCCGCGGGTTCGAGACCCACCTGGGCAACTTCGCGAGACCTCATCTCTACAATTTAAAAAAAAAAAAGTCAAATAATAAGGTAATTAGGGAAAAATATAGGGTTTCTTTAAACAGTTAATTTTTATATATTTATAAAAAGCTTAGAACTATATCATTTAAATAATTGTATAGATATATACATATCATATGATAGAACATTTCTTTATTATTTGGCATACATTAAATGAAAGTTAATGTGAAGAACACTGTGGACAAAAGACCAAATTTGGAATCAAGAAGCTTGAGTGTGTGCCCTCATTCTGTTGTTTGCTGCCTGACTGACCAGGACAAATCAGCTAATCTTCCTAAACCTCTGTTTATTTATCTATAAATGGGGATAATCATCACTCACCTCCCAGACTCACAGATACACGAGACTCAAATGAAATACAATATGCCAGAGTACTGTGTTCACTGTAAAATTCCATACAAATGTGAGCTGTTGTTGATAGCAGAACTTGGGGGGGGGTGTCATGTGTATTCCCAAAGAGATGTCTTCTTCTGAAGACCACTATCTACCACTGGTCCTGGGGAACTTGAAGCCTTGGCCATAAACTACTTCCTAAATCCACAGGGTTTCTGATTCGTTCTGAGAAGTGATAGAACTTTGACCTCTATTGTGTTCTTCTGACCCTGACTTGGCTGTCCCTTTCACCCATGACGGAGTCACCGGGCCAACTGCTAACTGAGGCAACTCTCACAACTGGGGCTGGAAATGATCACAGTCTCTTTTTAGTCAAGGAATTTTTGCATGCATGGCTTCATCAGGAGCATGAACTATTCCTGGCAATAAAGAGTATTTCACTCTAAACACATGATTCTCTCTAGAGAACTTCCATTGATGGAATACAAACATACTACATTCTCGTGATTTGAATGGAAATTGAACAAACACAACATAAAATAAAATGTTCGCCTTTCTTTTGATACAAACAGTCCACTGTGGGTCCCAAACAAACGTTCTTTCTTCTTTTTTTTTCATGTTGTATTTCTGCCTTATGAGAGGCAAAGGTCTTAATGTGATTAATTTTAGACATTGATAAAGGGTTAAATTTTGGACACAACAGATATTCTCTTATACCTTAGATTTCTTCTCATACATAAGGAAAATGGAGTACGGGGAAAAAAATTGAATCATGATACCAAAAGAATCCCCCTGAACTGCTCTTGCTCCCGCTAGATGACTACTCTGTCATGTGGCAGGTACTATTCACTTGGTAGAGAAAAGGAGCTATTCTGTATATAGGCAAGAAAAGAAAGTCTTTTGTGCCAGTCTCCAGAGACTCCTTGGCCCATTCTGGGAATGCCATCGACAGGCTGAGAATGATGTCAAATCATGTTTTTCTTGGTCCAACAATTTTGTAGGATGTTGAATAATGGGTATTTAATTTATAGAAAAGGAAGGTTTTTTTCTTCCATGTAAGACTGTGCTTGGAAGGGTAGATAAAGAACCATTTATCTCTAATCCCTCTTTCCAAGATACAGGAACAGAAAAATAGAGTTTCTCTAGGCGTAAAAAACTACTTGCACATAAACCTTTGTTTTCATCAAGAAAAACCAAATGGAATCTTTCAAATGGCAAACTAAGTAATTGTTGAAAGCAAAAGGTCACACTAGATTAGTTTTATTGAAAAAAAAAAGTGATAAAAGCTCTTTCTCCCTTTCTAAAACTAATTAAAGAAGCAGATGAAAGAACTTTGCTGTTGTAAACACACTGTTCATTGAAGCGGGCTTCCATTTAATTTCATGCTGGGCTTGCTTAATTATTGTGCAAAACACAATCATGAGGTTAGTAAACTTGTATGCGTGTCAGTGTATGCACAGGTTGGTGTGTAGCTAGAATCTTGCTGAAAAAAGGCAGAACATCAGTAGAAATGTATCATTACTTACGTGGAGATGACCTACAGGAACCTTATTACATCTAAATAAGGACTCTCTTTTTGCTTTGTGTTTGTTCACATTTGTACTCAGATGATCTTCCAGGAAAAAAAAAAATCCTGAATGTCTTAAACAACATGTTGAAGAATAAATATTTTGTTGTTTCTAGGGACTGATGTTATGGATAATTAAAGTCTTGATCATTTTGCCTGCGTTATTATAATTTTAAGTAGATATGACTGACCTTTCAGTCATATCTACTTAACCTTTCATAAGAGTTATATTCTAGTCTTTGTTTTGCTACTATTTCAATATTTGTCAAGCCACATCTCTGGCCTCAATGATCTTCGTTTGCAACAGGCCAGCTTAGAAAAGATGATCTGCTATTCTCCATGAAATTATACTTAGAGGCTAATATGTTCTTAAAGTAGTAGAAATCGAGTTCCATTTATAAATCAGCTCAGAGACGACCACACCCAGATACAAAATTCCAAGTATTACAAGGAAGTACAGAGCTACAATTGATGAATTTTCTTTCATAGCTCTTACCTTTTATCTTATAATGAGCACATTTAGGTGAAATGTCCAGGGAAATAGCGTAACATCTGCAGGATAATGCATCACAGGGAGCCTGTTTAATGGATTTGTGCCCCACGTTTGCTACTTTCTAATATATACACAAGACAGGGTTTTAAAACATTTCGTTAAAATGCAGTCCATGATTATACTTACCTTTTAGTCCTGTGCCAAAAAGATTTGTTTTTCAGAGTTTAGATATTTGCTGATGTAGTATAAGATATAATGACCAGCTACAATGCTATTCACATAGCTACACAGTCAATTAAGTTCGAACTGATGATTTAAGAGAGTGTTTTAAGCATTTCTTACCTTAATTTCCAGTACATTTTCATTGCCCATTGAGATCATCACTGGCTTTTCAAAAAGTTTAAACACAGGATTATGTACATATATAAGATCAAAGTGTTTGGAAAGTATCCCGTCTAACATGAAAAAGGCTTTGGTTTTCAGGGGGAGTTGCAGATTCAGCTGTTGTAGTGAAGGAGTGGTACAGCAGATTATCTCTGAATTAGAGCGATGCTGACATGCCTGTAGCAAGACACAATTATCCACTGTAAACAGAATATAGCTTGACAAAACTCGTTGCAACTTTCATAATTCACAACTCCACTCAACTGAAAATATGTAATTTTTGAAAAAAAATCTGTATTTGACTTCCTAATGTTGTAACATGATAGATGCAAAATTATCCAAACAACCCAGTCTTCAAAGGAAACTAGAGCTTCACTTACCCAGAATAAGCTATGTTGACCTAGTTGGAGCTAGCCCTCACCTCATCATTTTATTTTTCTTAAGAATACAGAAGAGTCACCTAGTCATGTGAGGTAGACATGGCACAGTGGGAGCTGGACTTTGAGGGGTTGGAAGCCCTTGGCTCATCCCTTAGCTTTAAACCAAGACGAGAGAACTGAGGTGAAGCCCATGTGGAGAAACTTAGTTTCCTCATTTAGGAATTAAGATGAAAATGTTATTCACAATGTGGGATTCGACACAGTAAAGTGGGTTGTAAACTGCCAAGCACCATATGGTGAACCCGATAATTAACTGTGTAGTTAGGTCATCATATGAGTGTGTTTTAAGCTATTAATTATGGAGTGCCAGGTTCTGTGCAAAATACTTTGCAAGGTTGTTCTCATTTGATTTTCACAATAATCCCATAGGTAGGTGCTATGACTATCCACAGTTTACAGATAAAGAAACTGAACTTTGCAAGCTTATGTCACCAAACCAAGTCACACTACTCACTCTGAGTGCTGAAGTAGGGTACATAAATCCTGGGCTGTTAACTCCAAAACTTAGTCTTAACTTCCATGCTACTGTTCTTGTTCATTATATATTCCATATTGGTAAATATTTCTGTGTGCTTGTTTATTATATATTCCACATTGGTAAATCTTTTCCTATGCTCTCTACTTTACAAAGGCTTTGCTATTATTATTTTGTGCCCTTTCATCTCTCATTTCAAATCTTCCCCTTTGGAATTCTGATTTATGGAATTTTGGAAAATGCAGTTTCCTCTTGATTGTACTTAGACTAAACCAGCAACACAAAGTGCTACATTTAAGGTTAAATGGTTGCGTTTTTTTCCCCCAAGGAAAAGACAAACAAGCAACAACATCCCTTAGATTTCCTTTTCTTTGACAAGTATAGTTGGAGATAAAACAATTACTTATGCCCACAATAGAAAAAGGACTCAGGATATACATAAAAAGCACAAACAGAATTTTGTATTTGATATTTTCTTTTAAAAATAATTGTTAAAAATTATCCTACATTTAAACATGCATACTGTAAGCAGATTAAACGAACAGAGATATGAGTAAAATTAAATTAGTTTTATATCAAATTAATACTATAATGCAAAAAGCTATTTATTCCTGTCATATGAAGAAGTAGACATGAACAATTTTACTGCTATCACGACAATTTTCTACATAACAACAAGAAATCTGAGAACTACATAAAAAATTACAGGCTTCTGGAACTAATGCACATGAAGAAATTAATATACATTAATATACATTCTTTTTTAAAGAAGGTGAATATTTTTATTTTAAAACGATTTGAGTTCATTGGACTTAAAGTTATTGTGACTGGATCTATATATCTAAATCAGAACTGACCAAGAGTTTTTATCTGTTAATAACAAACGGGTTCAATCCATCTTGATCAGCTTTAAATTCTATAAGCAGCAGGGAACATGGAAGGAACACACATTGCTTTATGGGGTGGTTTTCACAAACAATAGTTAAATAGTAAATAGGTCTACTGAGTTTTTCACTCTTGCCCAATGTACTGTGCAATGCATACTTGTATTGTACTAACGTGTTTGTGGCTAAAAACAATGAAAGATTTCGTTTCCAGACACACAAACAGATAAGATATTTATCTTCTTCTACCACTGTCTGAATCTTCCTTGGGATATGCAACTCTGACACCTAGAAGGTTTTGATTACAATGAATGAATGAAGCTAAGAAACATTCTGTCAGTCATTCTAATGTTAGTGAGGGAGAAGAAAGAAGATTTAGTCATTATTTTACTAATCTAGGCTCTGTGTTAATTAGATAAATTAATAATTTCTCAGATTTATACTTTTAAAAGTTTCATGCTAACACCAAAGTAAGTTACTGTTATTCTTATTTGGCTAATGAAAAATTGTTATGCTTAGTTGTGGAGAACTGATGTCCTTTAAATTGATAGCAGTGGTATTCTAACTTTGTTTGTGGCCATGTGTGGGGATTGGTTTCAAAGCCCTTTACTTCTTACGGCGACTCCCTGGAGTACAATCTCTCAGGAATATGATAAAAATCTAATAATACTCTTCAGAGGTGATGCAATGTGGCTGATTGAGAAGGCCAACAAAAATCTCATTTGAGATGACCTTATTGTTTGGTGATTTGGCTTGACATTTTTAGCCCCAAATTGGTTTTTGTAATTAAAGAACACCGTGGCTTTAGTCTTCAAGAAATATTGGATGGGGAATCTAAAAGAAAGTGCTGTAATTCAATCTCTCACCCGCCCAGTCAAGATTGTTGGATCGGGAGCACTTAGAACTTTCATTCTGAGTTGAGTGCACAAGTCCAACTAGATTATGGTATTTTATAAATTAGAAATACATCAACAAAACATATAGAGTCTTTGGAAATAACTTCAACCTTCTTAAGGTCTAAACTAAGACTACCACTTCAGTGTGACCTATTTAAATCATTAGACCACAAAATGAGTCAATCTCTTTTAAGAAGACATTCAGTTAAGTTTTGGTTGGCCTTGAGAATAAAATAAGGAAAGAGGGAGAAACACCAAACAACATTCACATTTTAGGAAATAACATATATTCTAATGCTCTTTCTTGTTACTTGATAATGTGCTACCAAAGAAACAAGAAGAATGGTAAGAACAGAGGGGAATAAGAAAACATTGCATGTCTGCTGCTTAGAAAGACAAGGATGCTGCTATAAGATCAGAGGCTTTTCCCAAGGTTTTACTAGAGCAAACGGGTCCGTGTTCTATGATGCATTAAAAAGGGTATAGGGTAATACTGTGACTTTCATTTATACTGACTGTTTTTAAAAACACTGCCTCATATTGGTAATCATTATTTGTGACTAAACATTACATAGGGGTGCATGTGTGTGTTTTCTACATTGTTAGCCTAAGACTAGATAATTTCAGTTGTTGAATAAAAAAATACTAATTGACCTTTGCTGCAAGGAAGGTGTTTAGCAGACGTTAAAGGCAAGACTGAAATGTCCCACGTACCCTGAATGCCAGGTGGCAGAGACAGAGATGCAGATCTTTGAGTAGAACCATCACTCAGAGGACTTACCACTGTAAAGTTCCTTCCTGCTTCATGCACATGTATTACCATCCTTGGGACACTAACTGAATTCAGGTTTTTTCCAACACCTGTTATTGTGCTCCCACCACTGGCAAAATAAAATAGAAAAATGACAATATTGAGAGGTTCTTTCCACCAAGTGTTTTTTTTTTTTTTTTTTTGAGTTGGAGTCTCACTCGGTCCCCCAGACTGGAATGCAGTGGCCGCTCCTGGCCACCGCAGCCTCACTTGCTGGGCTCCGGCGATCCTTCCGCCTCAGCCTTCCGAGTAGCCGGAATTACAGGCATGCGCTTCCACACCCGGCTGATTGTTTGATTTATTGTAGAGATGAAGTCTCGCTGCCCAGGCGGGTCTTGAACTCGCGGGCTCAGGGAATCCACTCACCTCAGCCTCCCAAAGGCGCGGGATTACAGGCTGAGCCACCGAGCCCGGCCCACCAAGTGTTTTAAGAGAAAGGTTCAATTTAATTACATGCAGTGATTATAAGCCAGAGGCACAGGCAAAGTCAAATGGATGTTCAGGGGTAATTCTTCTTTGCAAACAACTTATTATTAAAAACTTGTATTCCATAGCCTAATAAATGCATTTTTTTGTGTGTGTTTTTTTTTGTTTTTTTGTTTTTTTGAGTTGGAGTCTCACTCTGTCGCCCAGACTGGAGTGCAGTGGCCACTCCCGGCCACCGCAGCCTCGACCTGCTGGGCTCCGGTGATCCTTCCACCTCAGGCTTCCAAGTAGCCAGAATTACAGGCATGCGCTACCATGCCCAGCTGATTTTTTTGATTTATTGTAGAGATGAGGTCTTGCTGCCCAGGCGGGTCTCGAACCCGCGGGCTCAGGCAATCCACTCACCTCAGCCTCCCAAAGGCGCGGGATTACAGGCTGAGCCACTGAACCCGGCTTGCATTTGTTTTTTATTCACTAAATCATAAAATAAATCATTTCCTCTCTGAAAAAAATACAAAGAAAAACGAACTTAACTATTGTTGCTAGACGGATAGAATTAACAGAAACAGGGCAGATTGAATGGATCCAATGAGACATCGATTCAAAGGGAGTCTGGTACAGGAAAATGCTGTGTATAAGGCAGGCAGGACCAAAAATACAGCGAAGAATGGAAGAAAAAAGGTGATTCCACTATTGGACCCTAAGGTAAGCATAGAACAGACATACATAGTATAGTGCATACATACTATGGTGCCACATTAAATGGTTTTACTGTAATCCATTTAAATGTAATAAAATAGGAAAAAATGCTTCTTGGTGTGAACCAGAACTGATAAGTCAGACTGTACCCCAAACCTGAATGTAGCGTTCTCTCCTGAATTGGAAAGGCAGCCTTTAAAAGAAATGCAACAGCATTAAAGCCAGAGATAAAACTGCAATTTCTCTGGACTATTCTACAGTTCAACTGTCTTTATGCTTATTATTTTTTACACCCATCAGAAGCTTTTACTTACCTAATAAAAGATTTGGTTGGATGAATTTCATATACAATGGGGTCTTCCTGGTAACTGAAGCTGCTCGTCTCTCGGTTGGCTAAGTCAATTTTCAATTTAACAGGAAATTCGGTGGAAATGGTTTGGGCTGGGGTATAACATTCAAGAACACTATTTGACACACTGAACAAAAGAAAATTAAGAAAATGAACCTCAGCTATTAGACATACAAATATTTTAGAATTATAATCCATAAATCAAAAAGATATAACTCAATGGTTCCTAAGTGGGAATTTCCTGAGGTGGTCTAGAAAAAAAGCTCTTTCTAGCATAGACTTTTTATATCTGACTGGATCTCAAACTCAGCCTTGTCATAAACAGGTCAACTGGGATTTTAAGAAATCTTTAAAGAACTTTTGTTACTTGATCAAATGAACTCTTCTAACTTTAAGAAGCAGGAACATAACCTCCTTCCAAGTCTGATTTCCCCCATTTCTTTCCTCCCCAGAGTGAGTCAGTCTAATTGTAAATCTTGATGAAAATGTTTATTTTAATTTGTTATCAATCACCAGAATCTCACTGTCTATAGTATAACCAAGATCCTAAGGTATAACAATAAAGAGAGTGGACAGGAAGACAAAACTGAAAAGGGGAATTACTAAATAATAAGGCAAGGGAAGGAAAATCAGCAAAAGGAAATAGATGGATTTGGGAAAGAGGAAGTTTTGTCCGCAGGAGAGTAAACAGTAAATAAATGTACAATTTTTGCTTAATTTGTATGGTATGGATATTAATCCAACTTGATGGATGCAACAAAAGAAATTTGCAACACCTTTTTAAAGTACATGTTTTTCCACCAATTGAAATGTGTCTAGAATTCCCACTGTTCAAGTCTTTTCCAGTTAAAGTAAGTAAAGTGCCACCAGCTTGAGGACCATATCTTGGAGAGATGCTTGTTATTATAGGATCCTGAATGGGAGATAAAAACAAAACAAAGTAACTTTTTAATTTTATAACTCTAAATAGATTGTGCAAACATCAAACATCCTAGTTCATGAGGAAAGTAATGCTTAAACTTACCACATAGGAAAATGTACTAGATTGTGTCGTCCCACGACCGTTTGAAATAATTATGGACATATTGAAATGCTCATTCGTTACAGAACCAACTGTGCATTTCAACCTGAAAAAAACCAAATATATGACAAATCCAATTGCATTTTCTAGTTAGGCTGTTTTCTAGGAAGGGACATTAACTCTAAAAAGGGAATTGACAACTTTGAATAGCAAGCAGAGTTTCAAGGTAAGCATTGAGGCTGAAAATGGTATAATTCTATTTCTGTACTATTATGCTAAGCTTTATATCAACTATTATAGTGTTTGTACAAATAAGCAGAAAATATTGGAATTCATCAATGCAGACCTCACCAATTGAAAAGTGCATAATAATCGAAGTCTAAGCCTATGAAACTGTAGAGATAATGTTTGGCCCATTTAAGATAAAGAAATGGTATTTCAGTTGCATATGAAACAATGGGTTAACTATAAATAGGCCAATATCTGCATTGAAGTATGTCAACAGGTACATTTTTGTGGTTATACTTGTCACATGCTTATTTAAATTACTTAAAGGAGAACGAAATTCTGATGGACATTTCATAGAGTTGTTTTTGAATCAATAATTATATAGTTCTGAAAAAAATTTAAAACGTTTTTAGAAATAACTTTTTAAAGAAAAGAATGAATTACGTTTCACTTTTACAAGTCCAACCTACAATGCAATGATTATGAGTTTTGGAGAATTTACAAGGGAAATTTATAGAATGAATTTATTTTACCATAATGTTAACAGGTATGACATTAACTGATGTTTTGGTCTCAAGTAAAATGAGTAGATTTAGACCTTTGTGTAACACTGGAACCAATCTAATAGACATAAAATAACCACTTGATATAATATCAACCTTAAAGATGCAACCATAAAACTTTAAATGTTTGGTTTATTACTACATGACAACTAATGATTCCTGGGTTCTCTATTAATTCAGAGCTTATAGAAGATACATGTAGAACATAGTAGAACAAGCACAGGTCTTGGATTGGAAGAGCTGAGTTGGAAGGTCTGCTCAGTTCTAAGATATATAGAGAGAGAGCTGAATATAAACTTAAACTCAATCAAAAAGAGTCTCAAACATGACTCAGTTGCTAGACTACCTTTTCAGTTTTTCTGCATTTAGAATAGAGGGTCCATAGTGAGCTGTTTGCTGAATTTTATTTAAAAAGCCTTTGGAGACGTTATTATATTTGAAGACTCTAAAGATGAAGCTATTCCAGCTAGTGCTACCCTTTCAAGTCTACCCAGATGATTTCTCTAGAGTTGTTACATAAATGGTTAAAGAACTCCCAGATGCTGGATTCTTCTCTTCACCTAGGCCATGCCTCCTTTATTTCTCCTAAACCCAGTAAGCAATTGGGAATACAAGGACAAAACAAGCCCACAAGAGGTGTGACAGGCCAATTCCCTTTTTAATGCAAGAGATGGACTTTTTGAGCTTTTTAACAACAAACAAACAAACAAATACCCATTCAAAAACAAAACCTGTCTTCTGAGCACATCCCAGCAAAGCATTTTAAGATCCTTACATATTTGTTGTGCTCTCACTTAAGGTCAAGGTGCAGCTCTCATTTCCAAGGAGAACTCTGGTCTTCTTTAAATCAAATTTATTATTCCTCCGAAATCCAAAGTCCCAGCCACATATGGTGAGCGTTGTCCCTCCTTCAAGAGGTGCACTAGTTGGGAAAACCTACAAGACCAACACAGAACTTTTTTTAAAAAGCCAATAAATTATTATTTTTATATGTATAGAAAATAGACAATGTATCCTTAAATAGTCTGAAATTCTTCCATTTTCCCACAGTCTAGTAAAAATTGAGTTTTCACTAAAGGAAAAAGGGTCACACATTTCAGGGCATCTGGAACAAACATTAAAGTTACCTATCATGCTGATGAAACAAGTTGTTTTCAGGAGTTCCAGAGATGGGACAAAGAGTAGGTTCAGCCTGGTGGGAATAAAAAGGGCTTTCTGGGCCAATCTGAAGTGAATTTGTTTTTAGGGATGTTTTAGGCAGGAGTAGACATACTTTGGGCCCAGTCTTTTACTTACTCATAACTCCAATTGTAACTGCTCCATGGACCTCCAGAACAAGGTCTGATCAAACTCCTTCACGAACCCTATAAGCTAAGGCCTACTATGTGCCTTGCTCTGTGCACTGACTGTGTGCATGCTATATTCTTGTTGCTATGTGTTTCCCACTCAGAGACGAAAGTCTCATCGTATAATACCTCTTTTGGTATCCAGTGCTTGCCCAGTTGTACTTAGCAGCTATCATAATAGGAAACACATAAATGATATTCAATATATAGCCGCCAATCATTCATTCATTACTTATTAATAAGGCACCTCCTATGTGCCAGTCACCAACAAATCAGTGAATCTACTTCTTTATAGTTGCTTCACATGTATTACTGATATAGGCTTTTCTTTGTTCTTTCAATATGGTCACTATTTGATATATACCAGATGATTAGTTGACACACTCGACCTTTAAAAATTATGAAATATTTAATACATACAATATATTATTTCTATTAGATAAAAACAAAACTGGAGAGAGCCCAACATTGGTATTATAGCAATTTTTCTAATCTTCATTGGCACTACTTTTTTTTTTTTTTTTGAGTTGGAGTCTCACTCTGTTGCCCAGACTGGAGTGCAGTGGCCGCTCCCGGACACCGCAACCTCGACCTGCTGGGCTCTGGCGATCCTTCCGCCTCAGCCTTCCAAGTAGCCGGAATTACAGGCACGTGCTACCACGCCCAGCTGATTTTTTGATTTATTGTAGAGATGAGGTCTCGCTGCCCAGGCGGGTCTCGAACCCGCGAGCTCAGGCAATCCACTCACCTCAGCCTCCCAAAGGCGCGGGATTACAGGCTGAGCCACCGAGCCCGGCTCCATTGGCACTATTTTACATCTCGTGTTTAGATTGATTTTTTTCCCCCTAATGTTCAATGTTAAATAAATATCAGGCTTATTTTACTATTGCAGGCTCACTTTTGGTGTGTTCAAAGCAAAATTTGAATTTATTGATAACCCTTTGGCAATCATAATTTAAGGTAGCATTAGACACTTATGAAGTCTGTAAGGCGTGTTCTCAGGCTAAAACTATTAAAACAAAACACACTTCCAAGTTAAAAATAATCTTCTCCTCAGCAGGTTTGTGACAATTGGGAAAGGAAATGCTCTTTTAGGGGGGACATATTGTAAATTGTGCTGTAAAGTACAATGGTGGGAAAACATAGCACCAAGATAGAGGCAACTCAAGAACCAGCAAAGGTGTTTGCTAAAGCCCAGTGTGTGAACAGCTAAAAATCCCTCTTTGACAATTAACAAGGGCATTTTGCAAAATTTAAATCTGCACACCTTCCCATCCATCCTAAGTAAATAATCACAAAACAAAGTCTTAACTTACTCTCGCTACCAAACCCCTTTAAAGTCTTAGCTTAAAGCTTTTATGATAGTTATTTTACCCATAAAAATCCATTACACAGTTGTGCCTTTTATGAAAATTTACCTTGTCCATGTCTAACCAAATGAGAATTGCTAGGAAAAAAATCTGTTTATTATTATTATGTTAGAAATCTGGTAGGAGAGAACAAGACATCCAAGCCTCCCAGGGCTCTATTCAGCCTGAGGCCATCACACAGCTGCTGGGCTTTTCTAATGAGGGGGGCTTCCCGTTGAAAACAGCTGCCCAAGGCTGATGTTGACTTGATCCCACTGCCTACATCCTCCCTTTCCATATAAAAACTGAAGTCTGTCACTGTACATACACCCTCACCATTACTTTCTATAACAGGCAAAGGGATTGGATGCTTTGAGAAAAGACACTGAGAGCTGTTCAACTCAGGCACCAGCATTAGGAATGGATATTAGATGCCCTCTGCCAGCCCCTCAGGGTGCAAAAGGCCAGCCCTGCTTAGCTTTTCTCTCTGGGCTGAGCATTTTCCTCTTAGCTTATGGGATAACCTTCACTCTTCCAGGGAAAAAGGAAGGAAGCAGTTGTGGACTACACACCCTTGGATAGACCCAACAATGGCTGGCAAACTCTGAGTTATCCTGAAGGGCAGAGAAACTCTGTGGGCAGGAAATGATTGTCCGGCACAAAGCCACAGAGGCTGGGCCTCCTACCTGCCTGGATAGGGGAGATAGAGCCACAAAAGTAACTTTCGTCCTTTCACAGGTGAAAGATCACACTGATGGGGCCCATTCCAACAGTATTTTAAAAGATTCTTGATTTAAAAACCCATTAAGATAAAACATCAGAAAGCTAAAAAGCAAACAAAAATACCTTTGAAAATAAAAATTCTCAATGGAGGCCTCCTTTCCTCTTTAGTAGAAAAAAAGTCACCAATATCGTGGTGGCAGTATGCTGCTTGCACCCCCTCCTATTCCCATGAGATAGCGTTTATCTGAGTCTTGTGATCAATTAATAAATAGTTTTGTTGTCTCAGTGGTATTAAATTCAACCCTACAAGACATGATAATTTTCTGCTAATACATTCAGAACACATTGGAAAGTGCTCTTCTTTTCCTGAAGCATCTTATTGCTTTTTAAGGACGAGATCAGATGACATGTTTGAAACAGAAAGCTTTCCTATCTGAAACTGCAAAGAAGTTCAGTCACTGAACATCATGTACCTTGAAAAGCAGGTTAACTTGTGTGTATTGGAAAGTGAAATTCTATACATTAGTTGGATTTTGTGCCTGTAGAGTTTAAGACAGATAAGGAAAAGATGGATAATCTGTCTCATTTTTTGCAGTAAGAATGCTAAATGTTACGGTCTAGTGCAGCATGAAATCTTCCTAACAACGATGAACCTAGAGGGATTTATGGAGTCAGATGCACTACTTTCCTTCTAACCGTGTAGCCTAAGCCTCTCTGACTTGTGCACGATACTATGCAACCTTTTAACGTCGCCAACTGGACAGTGTGCTAGAGTCAGGGAAGGTGAGAGGAGGGAGATTCAAATATTGTAAAAGATTCCCTGGTTCCAGAAAATTCTAAAATATATACCCTATCTTTATTTTTAATATAGCTTTCATGATTAGTAAAAAAAAAGGAGGCACACTAGGCAAAATTAAATGTTTCCTTTGTACAGGTTATCAACCTGCTTTCTTCACTTAAAATACTAGTTTGGCTATATTTGAAAGGAAATTGTTGTGATTGAATTGCAAGAGCAGATACATACTATCCCTATCTTTTTCATGGAATAGCTGAGTTCAGATTCCTAGTGTCTCAAATTGCCAAGGCTGTGTGTTTATAAAAGTATAAAATTGCATAGGGTTTTGAAAGTACTTGTACAACAAAAAAGCGCATTAATACTACTGTAGAGATTTAAATTTGTTTTCCTACTCTCATTTAGTTTATTCTCTGGCCAATCAAGCAAGTCAAAATAATAGCGTCACACCTAACAGAAAATGGCTTGGTTTAAAACCCAGTCACCCACTACAAATCTTGCTCCACACCGTAACTAAATGAAAACAGCCATGCGCTTGGGGGGCACTTCTTGTTCTGATTCGTACACTTTGTTTACTAGGGCATGAACCAGGCGACGGAGACCTTTAACTTGAATCTTTCACAAGAACAATTTACTAAAGTCCAACTGTTCTACATGTGGATAGGGAAAATACATACTGGATCCTCACCAGGGAAGTGTTTTCAAGAAAAATGTTTTGGACCAAGACATTAAAAAAAAAAAATTGTCATGGAGATTTTCATAGTGCCAAATATATGCAATATATGCTTAAGTGACAGAGTTAAAGTGTGGCTGCCATGTCAGGGTTGCTGTCCAGTGTCAGAAGCTAAGTTTTCCATCAGCAGGAGGTATGTATGTCCTGTTCTGGACTGTACTTTCCAGTGTCTAGAAGAGAGCCTGCCAAGTGGTATGCACTCAGTAAATATTTTTTGGAATGAATTAAAGAAAAAATGGCTCACAAAAGTGTAAGTGTTAGTAGAGTCATCAGTTGAGCCTTTACTTATCTACAAGAACATTGAGAGACAACTACCAGTCACCATGGGTGGTGACCCTCCACTTGTCTCCCACATTGCCCTGGGAAATAACTTCCAATCTCATCTGTGAAGAGACAAGGCCACCATCTATGCCTCAGGCAGGAATAGACATCCTGTGTGCCCCAGTCTGGCTGAGATTACTGATTTGCGGAGTTCAGCTCAAGGTTCCAGGATATGCTATGGGCAGATTTGTTTCTGTGGTGGAGGCTCACGTCTGGGCACCTGGCATTTAAAGTAGGTGGTGAGGAATCAGAAAACGGGTGAGTCAGGAGGAAACAGGTCCCCGTGTGAGAAAATGGGGAGCACTATTGCTCATTCACCACCACTCTTTGATTCGCAGAGTGCTCAGAGAGAGCAGCTGCCCAAGGAAAAGAACCTAGTGAGTGTGAAGGAAGCACTTCAGGTGCAGAACTCACCAGAATGTGATGTGCCCAAATGCCACTCTGGGGATAAAGCCGGGAGGGAGATGGTGCGTTGGCTGATGGCTCACAGCTAAATGAGTAAGTTAAGTTTGGGGATTCTTTTTTATTTCTGGGATTTGTGCCTACGAAAAAACATGCATGACAGTAGACAGATTCCCACCTCATAGATTGCAGGCAGGCAAATCTCTTGAGTCCATGTTCCACGGGGGCATTCCTCCTTTCTCACACATTTGTCGTGGCACCAGCCACACTGCACGAAGGGAGGGGCGGAGAGACACTGACTGCAGGACTGGAAATGACCGCAGCCCAAGCCATTCAATGGGATCTTGGTGATCTGTGAAGAAAAGGGGGTAGAAAGAACTTTAAAAGTGTGTGTGTGTGTGTGTGTGTGTGTGTGTTTTGGTCAGTTGGTTGAGTAAAAATGGAGTACACAAAACACACATGTAAATATCACTTTATAGAATCTACTAGACATAGCACCATGTAACAAATCATATTACAAATAATGTAATAATGGTTAAATGCTTAAAGATTTAAAAATCAAATTCCTTTCTTCCCTCTACTTTTGGCACATATGTGAAAAACTTAACATTATTGTCCAGTGAACATAGCATTGTCATGTATTGTTAGAAGTTCTATAGAGTAGGGACGTTTTGCCCCATCTGAGGTGATTTTAAAATAAGAAGAGTATAATTATAGCTGTGAGAAAACACACTTGAACCCCTGGAAAATTCTAAGTAAGGTTACATATCATTTTGGCATCAAGATGCACGTTCTTCTCACAGAGAGAAAGGATTATAGGCTAGAATCAGGTTCCAATGTATGTTTCCAGGATTTATCTGCCTGCGCTAAAGTTCTACCATCAGAACTGTAATTCTCATTCTCTATGTTTGTTTTTCTCATTGAGAAATATAGGACAAAAGGAGACATTTTGAAAAAGACCTCGCTTAGGTCCAGTCTTCCTTGACTAAAAAATTAGCTTGATTTCAGAAGATCTCTGGAATACTCAGGAAAGAACTTAGTAGAAGAGAGGTGAATCTAAGATGAAGAGAGAAGTTATAAGGGACCAAGTGACACTGGCTGTAAATATCCATTCAGGAAGAACCAAATCCATGGACACTCTTAGTGGGACGAGCTTACTTTCTTCCCAGTGACAACCAGTGTGTAGCCATTCTGGCTTGATGGATGTTCTACAATCACTTCTGGAGACACAGGATGGGAATCCAGGAGGAAATTCACATGAGGGGTTGATGATCCCGATCGAGAAACCACAACCTGAGAAACAATTAAAAGGAAACACTCTCATTCCAACAAGCTGAATTTAAATATAAGAGGAAAATGTGCTGATAATGGTAATAACAGATTAGCAGAGCTTGTGGGTGTTTGAATTGAAGACCCAAAGTTTCATCTTGTTGTAAATCAATATGACTCTTTTAATCTCCTATCTTGAAGCCAATTTCTTCTGAACCCCCAAGACAGACTGTTGCCTAGGATTTTTAATGGTTTGTAGGGAAGGCGTTTTTTTCAATCAGCCAACACCTGCAGACAAATCCTCACAATTGTGCTGGGAACTGGAGGAGCTGAAACCCTCCCCAGAAAGAAGACACCACACATGCTACAATAATTTGGTATTATTCTTTTAATCTATTCTCTCTGTCCTCCCCAATGGACAGTTTCCCTTGACATAGTGGTAAAAGTAGTGGACAGGGAGTCTGGAAACCTGGAGCTAGTTTCAGCTTTGCTACTCTTAAGTCACATTTATAGATCTTTTGACTTCAAAACAGGCCCCCAGCTACTTAAAAATGATGTGCTGTGTTTTTTATAAACCACTGTCCCACGATATGTTATTACTTGGATTATAAATAAAGTTCTGCTTGTTGATCTGGCTAAAATGAAGACTGATGGTTTTAACGTGTGGGAAGTGAGGATTGATGATTGGTGTCATTTTTGCTCTCAGGTATTTCTAATTTGGGATGTTTCCCAGTCATATAATTTCCATCCGTCTTGTTCCCAGAACCCAGTAATAATGAAGTTCAGAGACTGTGATTAACAAACACTGGGATAAAAATCAGGATGATTATCTTAGAACAACTCTTAGATTTTAGGAGGGCATTAGAGCTTTCAGAGACTTTCATCATTATGCAGGGCATCAAGTTGCTTATACATGAGAGTATAAGAGGCTGAGCACAGTTTCAGGCTTGAAATATACTTTGTGAAATTGCCCAACAACTCTAATAGCCGTTTACACTGCATTGAAAGTACATTTACTCGCCATGGGAATGAAATCACAGGACAAACATGGGCTTCTGGGAAATTTGGATTAAACAATCACCACCTCTACCTCAGCTCTCTCATTTGTAAAATGAGAATGAAAATTATTGGGGTAATTAATTGCTTTGTACTCAAACACACACAACACTTAAATCTTCCAGGGAACAATAGTACATTATTTTCTTCAGCACAATAAAGGATAGGAGCTGCCTGAAACAATTTGGGAAGATTCCTAAACTACCTCGTTTGTTCTCAGATTGTTGATAGAGAAACTAACTGAGCTCACACAGAGCCATAAAAGTTAAACATCATGATATTTTTGCTGGAAGGTTTGTTCTACCCCAAACACTCAACACTTTCAAAACATCTCCACTAGTCTGTGTGGCTATATTTGCACAGAAGTTAAGTGATGGATCAAAGGTCACTTGGTCAGGATGGAAAAGGGTGGAAACTATTGTTATTTCCTAAATTTATGGCCCGTTAGATATTTGGAACCTTTGTGGGCAAAGAGAATAGAGGTTCAGTTACCAGTCCTATCTCCTCCTGGACAGTGGTTACAAGCAAAATGGCAGATGTCAAACTCCCAAAGCCTCTATCTCAAATTATACAGGCTTCAGTTTCCAATTCTGCAATCTTAACTCCCTTCTGGTGCTCACCTCCTCTCATTTTTTCTGCCCTCCCCTCATCTCCTCCTATATTTCCTTAATTGTTGTCAATTACTTCAAAGTGCAAAAGTTTCTGGACTTGGATTGATTGGTATACCTCTTGTTAAGTCATTTTGTCTGGAGAGCATCATATACATGGTACTTTCATAACAGGCGATTGTCAGACATTGTACTAATGTCTGACAAGTACTAAGTGCTTTAAATACAAATTTCATTTACTAAGTGCTTTAAATACAAATTTCATTTACTTCTCATGATTATCCTGCAAAGTAGGTGGAAAAAACCCCAACAACACTCCTTTTCTCATGAACAAGTCAAAACCAACACAAAACACCAGCCTGTCTTACTGCTTGGACTCTGTTTCCATCTTGTTCTGTGCTTTCCACCTCACTGAAGACGACTCATCACTATCAACCTTCCTATGGACATCTGCATTTTGTGTCTGTCCCCTTTTATTGAGACCAACTACATAACAATCACCTCTTAAAACCCCTTTTTCTTGTACTTTCTTGTTCTCTTTAATAGCATTTCCTGAATCTATAATAAGTGGTCCCTTCTTAATTACAAGGTCATCATCTTTGACTTTATCAAATATCTGAAGTCCATCTAGATATTCATTTCCCAGAAAGAATTAACCTTTTTCCTTTCAGAAAGACGCTCTTTGCACTTCTGGACTTGGGTTGATTGATTTGTGCATCAAATCACAAGATTTTTTGTCTGGACAGCAGCATATACATGGTGATTTCTTAACAGGTAATTGAGTAAGACATTGTGCTAAATGCTTTAAATACAGATTTCATTTACTCTTCATGATAATCCTATGAGGTAAATACTATTATTTTCCTTAAAGAAAATATTACAGAATTTTATCTAGAAAGTACAGGAGTCAGGTTTCCAAAGAGCTTTACCTAATGCCAGAATCTATGTGCTTGACCTCTTCTTAAACACTCAAATGCTAGACTCTTGGAGCACCAGAGTAAATACCAATAAAAAGTTTCAACTCTGAGCTCCCAAGAGCCACTAGTGTGTCAAAGCACTAAAACAAATTTCACAATATATTTGCTTGCAAATTATTCCTTGTTTTAGTAATCTTGGCTGCACAAGTTAAGTGTGCCTAAGGAGAAAGACTCTGCATCTAAATAGTTTTTGATGGCACAGAGGAAATGTTACCAGCACAGCTAGGGAAGCACTACTTTTGATCATGAGCTAGGATGAATCTTGCTTGGTTTAGAAAATAGGATGAACAAGAGAAGACAGGAAAGAATGTGGAAAAGTAAAACTTTGGAAGTGAGAATTCCATTTGTAGTTTTGAGTAGAGATTGTACCACACATGCAACTAAATGCGTTTTTAGTTGATCATTAGTCCTTTCTCTGCAGGGATACCTACTGCTCTAAAATGCCAAAAAGGCTTTTCTACCACTAATTCCTCACTTTTTCTTATTGCTGAAATTCTAAATAATAGAGTAACCAAACTTTCAAGATACCCCTGAAGCAATGTTTGCAAGAAATCAGGAGTTCCTTTTGGTTGTCATGGAGATATTTCTAGAGACAGAACTGAATTTGGCATCTAAATTTAATTCTTATGATAAATAACCTGGCAATCTTTGAACAATTAGTATGAAATAGAAGACTAGCAAATATCTTTTGAGTTTCTACTGTGTCAGCAACTAATTTTAGTATTTAGGCCACCAAACCATTTTCTTTAATGTTCTTGAAAATATGGGTCTAATGCATTTGGGGGAAGGAGAAATCGGAATTTACTCAATTGTTGTGGCTATGACCTCACATAACCTATCTGGGAGAGGACATGGGGAAGAAATATTTGTACAGATAAAATCATTGTGGCTAGGCTCCCAAATGAACAAAAGAATTTTGGGTGAGATATCTATATATATATAAAGACCAGCTCTTCTCACCTCACACATAGAACTTTATTTTTAATTAAACTGTTTTAGAATTTAATTTTTTGAAAGAATGTTGAATACAATTTAACACAAAATATTTGTGTATGGCTTTCTATCTACTACCCCCAATTTTTTTTTTTAACATGGACAAGTTAATCACTTTTAAATGTATTCACAGATTTGTATAATCATCACACCAATTTTGGAACACTTTTATTACCTCAAAAAGAAGCTCCAAATCCCTAGTTTTTCCATACCCTCTGGCCCCTGACAACTACTAATCTACTTTCTATCTCTATACATTTTCCTATTCTGGATATTTCATAAAAATGGAATCCTATAATATGTGACCTTTTTGTGTTTGGCATCTTTCATACAGTGTAATATTTTCAAGGATCATCCATGTTCATTTTTATTGTCAAATAGTACTTCTCCATATAGAGATGTCATTTTTCATTTGTTCATCACTCGATGGACATTTGGGTTGTTTCCACGTTTTGGCTGTTGTGAATAATGCTGCTATGAACATTCATGATACGTTTTTGTGTGAATATATATTTTCACTTCTCTTAGGCATGTAAGTGAACCTATATTTTTGTTTCTCTTGGGTTCCTGAGAGTGGAATTGTTGGGTCTTATGGCAACTCAATATTTAACCTTTTAAGATATAGCCAAACCATTTTCCACAGTGGCTGCATCATTCAACATTCCTGCCAGCAGTGTATGAAAGTTCCAATTTCTCAACACCTTTGCCAACACGTTATTTTTCATTTTCCTGATTCTAGTCATCCTAGTGGATGTGAAGTGGTATTTCACGGTGGGGTTTTGTGGTTTTTTTTGGGGGGTGTTGTTGTTTAGATTTCTTTGCCAAATGTTGTCTTAAATTAAGTAAGAGGAAGGTTTCTATCTGGAGGTTGACAGCCTTCCTTTCATTCCTGCTTGAGACATGACTTGGGCATCCCCTGCTCAGCATCCCAGTGTGTGTTCTGAAGAACGTGGCCTCATGGTTAGACTGGACTTCTGTAAAACTGAGTCCTTGAGAAACTGAAGGTGGGTGTGGGGTGGAGGTAACAAGGTGGAGTCTTCCCAGGAGAAGCAGTCAGAGTGAGAGGTGAAGCACTCCCCCGCCCCCCAGGTGTCTGTGCTTGGCAGAGGAGGGGAGGAGTTGGTGGCATATCCCATGGGAGGATGCAGAGCAGAGGTAGTGGAGGTGGCAATGTGGGGCTGGGAGCTGGAACTGTGGATGAGAGTGGACCTCTTGAAGGATGAGGGGAGCCCCTGGAAGTTGTCAGAGGATACCCAGAGAGAAGGTTTAATGAGTTGCTTTGGGCTAAGAATATTTTATATCTTTTGATATTCTTGGAGTAACCACAGGAATTCCTGTTGGCATTGTACTTCTTTCAGTAAGGCATTGCTCTGGGATTCAACTCTACAGG